CTAACTAAGCTAACGGAATGCAAAAAATCCTTGATAAGAGACCAGTGCTGATTGATGTTATCGGGAACAGTCGGTTCTAGCTTTTCAAAAATTATTGGGTAAGATGGTCGGAATACCTTAGCACAGTCTAACCGTCGTTGAAAACAATGGCAGACTTCCCATCCGAGGCACCACAGTTAGTGCAATGATCTGTAAAACCGAATAGAACTAGAGGAGGTTGATAAAACAGGAGGGTATGTACGATGTAGAATATTTTGCGCTAAATGAGAGAGCTTTAGACTCCAGAGTCTTAAGAGCAGGAAGGTTTGTGATTGTGGGGTGTTGTACTACCCGCCCAGAGTAGGCCTTGTTCGAGTTGTGCACTCTAGCCTCTGCTCAACTAAGCGCGGACACCAAGGCATCAGCGATGTTGCAAATGAGCTGGTGATCTGTTTCTTGTTCATTTGCCTCATGGGAAACTTTATCGAACAATAGATCTTGACAAGAGGCAATGGTCATATTTTGTGGTGGAGCACATTCGCCACGCCACCGTGCTGTCGACAGGTGTTCATCGGAAATCCAGTCGTCATTGCTTCCAACATTTTCATCTTGCCTCAATTGCTGCCAAAAGACTGCAATCAAAACTGCTACGGGAAGGTGCATGCATGTGTAAATCGAAAAACCGAAAGCATCTAATGGATTTAGCAGTCCAGCCTCTTCTAAGATCAGTGGTTCGTTAGCAGTGAACAACACCGCAAGTGTCAATGGGTATCGCAGAAAACTAAACACGCACAGCACCATGGATTTCCTGAATACCCCATGACGCTGTTTATGAGGTAATTCTAATGATCTTGTTTCGAACAGTGTACTGTGTTCAGACCTGCTTATCTAAGTGTGAATTTCAAAACTTGTCACAACAAAACAGCTTGCAATATCATCTGCACAGAACCAGTGGCTTTTTGTTAGTGGGTAGGTATACCACCTGAAACCTTCGTTCGAAAGGCATGTTCACTCTTGAGCAGCTCAATCACTTAAACCAGTCTAAACCGGAACACCGCTTTCACTCGGAATAGGTGACTAATCTTCGGGTTTGACCGCTGTAATAGTTGCATTCATCTTTGCCTCTCGGTCAAATTGAGCAGGTATATCTCTGTTCGAACTAAAACAGAACTGAATTCCCTCGTCTATTTCAAACGGATAAAATATTTTGCCCTTCCCTGTTGAACCTCGATACTACTACTCTCCGGAATAACGCGCATTTGCTATGCGTTTCCGTTTGTTTCAGCGACCGGGCTGCGCCCACCACCTGGTCGCATATTCGTGCTTCCACTTTTGCGTCAACTGTACGAGGCTCGCTTCGATCTATCCCTCTGGTCGAGAAAAGATCGACACCGCAGCTGGATGGTCCTGAACGAAGAACACTGGACCTCGCATCTTCCGTACTCGCGTCATCCGGATGACTTTTGGCCATGTTCAGCGTCTCAGTTGTTCGGACCAAATTCCGAAGCCGGGTTGCAGTATCAGCACGTGTGGCGTCAGTTGTTGTTGCACGATGTACTGGCCACACTAAAGGAACATGGTTGGCCAGATCAGGCTGCGCCCACAGCGGTAGGTTCGAAAATTTACTTCCGTCGCCTAGTTTTCTCTGTCATATAACAGTCCTTTTATTGGTCTATTTTCTCCTTCCTGATCATTGATGTTCGTGACTTCCCCGCATTGTTTGCCTTGCGTTTGCCGAAAGTCAAATCATGAGGTGCGATACCAGGTACCATTAAGATTCGCGCATCATATCTCCCTTCTCACTTATCCTTCTCGGTATGTGCAATCAGCAGACACTCATCCCAATTTAGTCAGTTCTCATCGCCCAGTGAGTAATCAGAGTTCGAAACGCATTGAGCCCGAGTGTACTTTGTTCCAAAGCACTGATCCACGAAACAGGCTTCTCTACTCTGTCTTTCCGATAGGCAAGCGATGGCAGTTGACTGCCTTGTATGGCGTATGTTCCCTTTTAGTGCACGTTTGGCGAACTCAGTGTCTCGCGACTAAAGGGACCCAATGCAATAAGCTCCTAACTGTGAGGTTAAATCCTAGTTTGTATTTTCCACTAAATTATCCCGGCGTTCTCTAACCTGGTTTGGCTAATAGCGAATTCCTGAGTCGGTGCTGTCCTTGTCTCTTCTGTTACACCTCATCAGAACGTTGTTGTAGTCAGTTCAATCGGTTAGACTCCAATGCATCGTGTTTTCGTTTACTCGCCAGCTGTTGGGTTTCATCGTTGACTGTGTTACAACTACCTGCTGGTCTGGCCTGTCGTTGAATAANTCCTTATGGCGGTTTCACTACCCGTGCTATTCGGTTTCACATCCATTCTTTTCTCCATTATCCCATGCGTTTTTTCCAAATCCTTCAGGTACTCGAACGCTTCCGAAATACGTTCATGGTAGCCAAAAATCTCCTCCCACCTGCGGAATTGTTTCGAGAGTTCTGTGGTCGCGATCCATCTCCGAACGCTTTACTTGACTCCATTCGAAGTCGCACGTTTCTAGTGCCTTCATCCATGCCGATTGGGTTGGAGGCCGCAAATGTTCTGATGCGAGAATGACTGTCCTACCTCCTTATGTGGTACCCGATGTTCTCCTAGTCAAATCAAGTGAAGCAGTTACTTGAGTGACTGGCTGGCCTGTGACGTAGTTCAATCTAGACTCCTAGTATAAACGTTGGGGTGTGTGTTGATGGACCGATTTCTCACTTCAACCGAACTATCCGTTCCCACTGAAATGTCCCTCCACATATCCTCAATTCGTCGTTTCTTTGTAAATACAGATCATTTTCCGATTTATTCTATTTCTGTCCTCACCCGTATGCATCAACTATCTCGGACAAGCCCATTGCGAATGCCATTATCAGTGGATTATGCTTCACCATCAGTCAGTGGGATACCCGTAGTTAAGATACGTCGCCTATTGAGATAGTTACTATATATTATATATTTTCACACGTCTGAATCCAGACTGTGTGCAAAACATATGGTACAATAATCTTTATGAAAAAGATAAACGTTCAATGATTCGCATGTGGGCGAGATACTACCAGGTTGCCCAGACCAAATTAGGTGAATTTTCTTGAGGAATCCACAACCGGAGCTTTTGGCTAGCCATAGCCTGACCCGCAAGGCAACGGGGCGGTGTGTGAAAACCACAATCCATTGGGGGGCCCTGTCCAGTTCATCGGATCGTACGTCCTTTGGACCGGGCCAAACGTCCAAGGTGCCCAAGATACCTCGATGACCACTGTCATAACCAGGAAGTTGTGTGTATGGTTCGTTCGCCTCCTCATGGTTGGTTGGGAATCAGGGTTTTTGGCCAACTCCCCTACCAAGCCTTACTACTGGTGTACGGATGAGACAATTTGCGATCTCCTTTATGAGCCTCGGACAGTTTACACTGATTTTTGCTCTCTCAGTAGCAGTGTCGTTTGAATTCAAGTGAAAATTACTTTTATGTATGTGGATGGTGAGCTATCGGAAGGTTCATTGAATCGATCATATTCTAAAGTTGTCCTCATGTCAGTATCCCCGGTCATGTTTTCGTTTTATTTCTATACCCATTACTCAGACTTCACTTGATGACGTCAGTACTAAATGGGCATTTTAAGAGAAGCTGTGTGATTTAGTGTACGCTGACTCCGTCGAATGTTTGGAGGATGCGCAAAGCGCACTTGACAAACTGGCAATTTCCGTCGCTCTGTTGGGTATGAGCTTTTCACCTTCGAAGTACAGATTTGTGCTACAAGATTGGGTGTCGTCTACCCGGGCGTTGATGCTTGAGGGTCAAGAAGTAGTTACAGTGGATTCACCTACTTAGTTGGGTAACAACGGACGTTAGCGTAGTCAAAAAGTAGCCGCCCGCATTTCCGAGGCTCGAGCAGCTTACGCAGGACTGAAACATCCGACGTGATATTTTGTGAAAAATGATAGGTCGCGTATACTACGCCGGTGTGCGGTCAGTTCTACTTCACGGCTGCGAGGCCCTCAATTTGCCCGTGGAAGATATTCGTTGTCTAGAAGTCTTCGACTGCCGATGTTTGCGTAGTTTGATGTGGGTTGGGTGGAGCGAGCGTGTAAACAACTGTGAGGTAAGCCGTTGCGGATTAGGTATTGATTCGTTATCACGTAGAATTTAGCTTATTGTACTTCTATGGCGATTGTTAAAAGTAAAGTAGCCTCGGTGGGATTCGAACGGACGCCGCCTACGCTTTGTACGTGCATGCTCTACNAGCTGAGCTTCAAATCTGCCAAGCATCCATTTGCACAATTGACCTTATCTTAGATGTTCTGATGTTCGGCGGACTCCGGTGAATTCTAAGGAAAACCTGTCGGGGCAGTCAGCTTACATGCTAATTGGTGGATGCTATATGCCTCTGTAAGTTGGATGGGGATTCGAATGTGAAAAGATCAGTGCTATCGGTGTGGCCTCAGCTCAGCTGGTAGTGCATGCGCGTACAAAGCGTAGGCGGCGTCCTGTGCGGGTTAGAGTTCCACCGAGGCTACTGAACTTTTTACAATCGCCCTAGAAACTTCAAATCTGCCAAACATTCATCGTACTTCGTTATTTAGGAGACGTCTTTTGCATGTCTAGTTGTGGTCTATTCGTCGTTGCGGCTCCAGATTGGCAGAATTGACATGGAGGTCGATAGATGCCGTGGAAACGAGGTCTGAAGAATTACAGGTGGGTTAGATAGTATAGACTTCTTTCGTCTTTCAGTTTGTGATCCAATTGGCTAGTGGGAGACACTGAAGGATATGGCAACTAACCGACAGCATTGGCGTTCGTGTTGCAGAGTTCGATTGTTCACTTTGTGCGTTGACTATCCTAACCTCCCTCGAATGGGGCCGAACCTATATCCATTTTGTACTTTCTCACTTATTTTGTGCATACTGAGTGCTTGACAGCGATCGGCGAATTTCCCTTCACTGTTCGATGATGATGATTAGACTTCATTTGGAGGTTTTTGTCGAAATGCCTTTGACCAAGCATTTAGTGCCTACCAACGGCCGGTCTGACAAAGCTGTATTTGGTCTAGGCCGACGATCCATATTATGAACGCGATCTCTGTCAAAAGTGTGAAAATTGGTGTGTTAGTGCGTTCTCGATTTTAGACGTTTATTATTTCGCGTCGTATTGTTGACCTGGGTAGGTTCTCTTTTTTCTGCTTACGGACTACCTGATCAACAATCAATTAACTGGTTCCAATACTTGTTCTGTTTACCCTTATAGGTTTAGGTTATCTAGAAGTATACTGTATGATTTGGTTCTGATCTTGAGAAGACTGTTGATTGTGGGGTTCTTAGCCTTACAGCCTTAAGTATCCTCAATAGTGGTGTGATGAGTATCTGTCAGGCTCCCTCCGCAATGTAGGTAACTTGTGATTCTCCGTTGGTCTTCACAGAGATCCCTTGAAGTGATGCGATCTCGATGAAACCAGTTCCGTATTTGGTCTGGTAATAGTGTAGGAACCTGCTTTCAGCGTGCTCCATAAAGAATCCCGTTGTGCTGCTATTGCTAGGTAAATTATTCTTTCTGTTGATCCATCTCATGCTATTGGTCAACGAGAGAATTGCGTAGTGTCGTGTTAGTCCTCGGGAACATCTGTGTGCTGGACTGATGCAATTCGAGAGTTGACGTCAGGCTTACTGCGGCAGAAATCTGTTGTACGTTAACGACGAGCCCCTGTTTTATCAGTGCACAACACCTGTTGAGCTTAACCGCCCAATTTTCACACAGTCGCTGTGCACGCCTCTCGGTTTTCCCATTCTGTATGGTGTGAATCAAATAGTGCATTGTATTTAGTTCTTGCTGTTAGTTTGTGCTTCCTGAAGTAATTACATGATCCCAAAAGTGCTCTTTAATGTTTCTAATGATCGGAAAATTTAAAAGGTAATAGACACCTAACTCTAAATCGCACAGCTTTTCTCCAGTTGTCCATTCCTTACCTACGCTTTGGAGACCATTTAGTGCGTTCTTCAGTATTTCGTCTACAACGATATTGAACAGGAACGGCTAAAGAGGGCACCCTCGACGAACACCGCCCCTGGTGATGAACGGCCTACTTATTTCATTGTAAACTCATACAGGACCGGAGGTATGTGAGTACAGTGACCTCAGTAGGTTAACGCACTTCTAGGGCATTTCTTTTCGATTAAGGTAAACCATCAGATCTTCGCGGTCAACTGAGTCGAAGGGTCCTTTCAGGTCAAGGAACACTGCGATCGTTGGCCGAAGGTGGATGTGACGCAGCTCAAAGACTTGACTCAATGTAAATATTTGATCAATACATCCATGGCCAGGCCGGAATCCAGCTTGATGTTCACGGGTGTTGGTCTCTCATAAAGGCTGCAGACGTCGAAGTATAACCGAAGTTGGCGCTTCGGTGACGATCGGGATCAAACTGAACCCGCAGTGGTTTTCGCAATCGTTGCGAGATTCGTTCCTGAAAGTATGAACGATCAGTGATTCGCCCCAAGATGGAGGAATGAACTCTTGTGTCCAAATATTGCTCAGTACGGTAGTAATGAAGCTTACAAGGTTATCGCCCCCATGTTGAAAACAGTGAAATGGGAGCTCATCTGTTCCTGCTGCCTTTCCTCGCTTCGGAGCTTCAATGCAAGACCGCATGTCTGCCTCTTCCGGAGAATGGAGCGACACTTCCCACGGAATTTTAGTAACAGATGAAGTAACCTGGTTAGCGGCTGAAATATTCTGCCCAGCGATCAAGCCGTTCATCCCTATTGTGAAACGCTTGCCTCACCATATCGCGGGCTGTTTCACAAACTAGAGTTCCCCAACCTCCCGCATTGCGTATCAGTCGGACCATTCCTTGCTGCATCTGCTACTTTCGTTTCACTATCTACTGTAGCCCAATAGTTCTCATGGTCCTTGACGCTCTTTATAAGCCGACGTTGCAGATGCCACCCAACTTTATTTTGGTCCTAGTATGTGGGGATTTGTCATTTTTTAACCATCAGGGCTACTGACTCCTGAGATACAAAATGCCTCCGTCGGGCAACATTCGCTGCGGAATGCATTACTTGCCTAACCTGATCCCACGGCCTACCTACATCAGCACTTTGAAGTGCGCTTAGCTCACTCACCCACTGTGATTCATAGAGTGCACAAACTGTAGGAGGAGAAAGTCGGCGATGAGCTATCCAAATTTGCCGGTTTTGTGGTCGAAGAGTGAACTGCATCCAAACTAATGCGTAGTCAGACTCAAAAGGGGTGGTTCAATGGGATCTGCAATCTTACACCGGCGTTGGAGTATTTTTGAAAGCTTGCCGATGATCAAGTATCGCCGTCACAACTCATCGTTGAACGTCCAACCTCTCCAATTTACTTTCAAAATGCGGCGTATGTTTAGAAGTTGGGTTATTGGTATTCCGATTTAAAACGTCTAAATCGCAAACAAGCGTTCGCACGAAAGCAGAACGAGACAATTCACGAAACGGCGGACGGTTGTATTATGTGAACCTGCAATGCCAAAAGAGGAGATGTGGAGGCGTGAGCAAGCGTGTGGAAAGTGATAGCAAACACGAGATGACAAAAT